CCCGAGCAGCATCAGTTAAAAGCAGAGAGGTCCCCCCATTGTTCCCTCCAATAGTTGTATATATGGCTGATTTAAAAGCAGCCAATTGTCTGAGGGTTGTGAAACCACTGTGTGTCCAAATGAAAAGCTGATGACGAGGAGAGTGGACCATTTCACAGTGCTTTACCCATCCCATTTTACAGAGGTGACTGCAGGTTAGACCGCTGGTTCCGTCGAGCCCTTCTTGACTCTCTGTCTTTCTCCCCCTCTCCAGACAGCTTGGGCGCAAACCAGTGTTTTCACTGCCTGATCACATTCCCGGATGAGAAGTTCAAGGCACGGCACATGAAGCGGGAACACCCAGAGGACTTTGTTCAGGCCAACCTGCGCGACACCCTCTTCATCTGCTTTATTTGCAACAAGGCCTTCGAGAGCTCGCGTGCCCTCATCTGCCACCAGCGGGGCCACGCCCCCGCCCGCCCCTCCGACTGCACGGACTGCTTGCAGCCTACCTTTGACTGCCCCGACTGTGGCCGCTGCTTCAGCCAGTTGGCCAACTACCAGCGTCACCGCCTGGGCCACGCCGCTGGCCACAGCCTGCCGCATCAGTGCCCGGACTGCGGCAAGAGCTTCCGCCAGCTTTCAAACCTGCGTCGGCACCAGGCTTTCCACCAGCAGACGCAGGAGTTGCTTCCCTCCCGTCCCTACTCCTGCATGGAATGCGGAGAGAGCTTCAGTCACGAGGCAGGGCTGCACGAACACTACATCCGCCACGCCCGGGGGGAGCTCTAGCAAAAGCTGTGGCTACGTGCCTCAGCTTCGGGGGTCCGGGTGGAGGCAGGAAGACAATGCGCATTGTCGTGTGAGGAGCAAAAACCAGAGGGAGACGGGGAACGGCACAGAAAGGGGCCTTTCCCGACGAGAAGGGGAAGGCGCCCCAAGTTCCAGGAAGTGCCAGAACTGGTTGTGCCTTGGTGATGAAGGAGGGCTAGTTCAGGGGAGTATGTTAAATGTGCATTCTCCCCCCCTCCCCCAATAGGAAATGCTGCTTCTTTAGGCTGAGCAAGAAGTAGGGAATGGACGACGGAAGGGTGTGAACCGTCTCTACTTTTTCCGAAGAGGAGCAGTCCGCATTCCATCTTCCACAGCGATCCATGCAATGGTCACCTCCAGATTAGACTACTGTAACTCGCTCTGCGCTGCCCTTGAGGCTGACCCGGAGACTCTGGCTGGTTCAGAATGCGGCGGCGCGGGTCCTTCCCGGGACCCCACGAACGGCACACATCCAACCTGTGCTGCGTAAGCTGCACTAACTCCGGGTGGAGTACCAGATCAGGTTCAAGGCTTCTGGTGTTAACCGTTAAAGCCCTAAACGGTCTGGGATCCACGTACCTTCAGGACCGCCTTGTAGCCCCCGGAGAGCATTGCGCTCAGCGGATAAGAACTTACTGGTGGTCCCTGGCCTGAGATACATCCGGCTGTCCTCAACCAGGACCAGGGTGTTTTCTGCTCTGGCCCCAGCCTAGCGGAACTCTCTACAGAATAACATCCATGTCCTGCGGGATCTGACGCCATTCTGCCGGGCCTGTAAGGCAGAGACGTTCCGCCAGGCATTAGGTCAAGGCCAGTGATGGTCTCCATCTGCCTGGCCGCCCTTGTCTTCCCGCCTCCCTCCCTCCCGCGGGGGCAGTGGCATAGTCGACAGTCCGAGCGGTGTCATCTCATTAGGTTGCTTGTTGTATTTTACTGGGTTTTATTGTTTTTTTAATTGGTAACTGACTTATGTCTATTTTATTGTTGTACACCACCCCGAGCCCGGTTTACAGGGGAGTGCGGTTTAAAAAAATCTAATTTAATAAATACATAGATCCGTCTGAGGCTGTTTGGCCAAGAGGGTAGGAAGCCCTGTACCCAGCTTCCTTCTGGTGTGTCACCTTTTGGATGGTCGTCTATGAATGCAATACCTTTTCAGCAAGACTTCTTGGGAGTCTGTGGCCTGCAGAGCATCTCCTTACCATCTAGATGGATAGGAGGAGGAGGAGATTGGATTTATACCCTGCCCGTCACTACCCGAAGGAGTCTCAGAGCGGCTTACAAACTCCTTTCCCTTCCCCTCCCCACAACAGACACCCTGTGAGGTAGGTGGGGCTGAGAGAGCTCTTGACAGAAACTGCTCTTTTTTTTCAAGGACAGCTCTTGTCAAAACTATGGCTTGCCCAAGGTCATCCAGCAGGATGGATAGGAGAGGAGGAGATTGGATTTATACCCCGCCCTTCACTACCCAAAGGAGTCTCAGAGCGGCTTACAAACTCCTTTCCCTTCCCCTCCGCACAACAGACACCCTTTGAGGTAGGCGGGACTGAGAGAGCTCTGACAGAAACTGCTCTTTTTCAAGAACAGCTCTTATCAGAGCTACGGCTTGCCCAAGGTCATCCAGCAGGATGGATAGGAGGAGGAGGAGAGGAGGAGATTGGATTTATACCCCGCCCGTCACTACCCAAAGGTGTCTCAGAGCGGCTTACACTCTTTTCCCTTCCCCTCCCCACAACAGACACCCTGTGAGGTAGGTGGGGCTGAGAGAGCTCGGACAGAAACTGCCCTTTTTCAAGGACAGCTCTTGTCAGAACTATGGCTTGCCCAAGGTCATCCAGCCAGGTGCAAGTGGAGGAGTGGGGAACCAAACCCAGATTAGAGTCCGCGCACTTAACCACGACACCAAAGTGAGAGAGGTCTCAGTGTGCAGGCGCAGAGGAAAGCAAGAGCTGTGTGTCTGTCTTGTGTCCTGAATTGTCCCAGGCACACGTGGAGTTTGATAATAGGGACTGAAATTCAACAGAGTCTTTATGGCTGTAGAGGGGGGAAACATGAAACTATGGCAGCGGCAGGGCATAGTGATATCAGAGGGAGACCAAAAAGGGCTTTCTAGGCTGGGGTTTGGGTTTCTCCCTACTGTTTCCTGCCCCTCCCAAAGGCTAACTGAAGTGGAGGAAGTTTTCTTGGAAAGCAGGAAACCCTCACTTTGTTTGGATGCAATGTCCTGGTTGCAGAATCCTGACTTTCAAGATTTAGAACATTAATTTGGAGTTTTGATTATCACTTTCTGAAGCCCAGTCACTATATACACAGCTTTGATCGAGGCCTGGAGTTTTGAACCAGTGCCTTCCAGTTCTGGGTACCACTGATAGCAAATCCTGTGCTTTACATGGGAGTGGGTTGCACAGACATGCCCTTTCTCCCAGTGTAAATTCCTTTCCCACAGGGATGGGAAGAAAGCAGAAAGGACCTTTTGCCAGCTAGTTTCTTTCTATTTGCCTGTGACAGGCTAATAAAGAATTGTGTACTCTGTTCAAACTGAAACCAGGACTTTTCTACTTCTAGTGTTTGGTGGCATCCAGCACCTTAGTCAGGATGTTTGCTGATCGTGCATCTTTCTCACTGATCCAGATGGCGCTTCCTTATTAAGCCCATGCGAGAGTTGGACTATAAGGAAGGCCGAATGCCGAAGAATAGATTCTTTTGAACTATGTTGCTGGAGAAGACTCTTGAGAGTCCCTTGGACTGCAAGCAGATCAAGTCAGTCAATCCTAAAAGAAATCAACCCTGACTGTTCCCTGGAAGGCCAGATAATGAAACTGAAGCTCAAATACTTTGGCCACCCAATGAGAAGGGAGCACTCCCTAGAGAAGACCCTGATGCTGGGAAAGATTGAAGGTCAAAGAAGACGGGGACGGCAAAGGATGAGATGGTTAGACAGTGTCATAGATGCAACGGACATGAAGTTGAGCCAACTTCAGAGGATGGCGGAAGACCGGAGGGCCTGGCATGATCTGGTCCATGGGGTCGCGAAGAGTCGGACTCGACTGTGCGACTGAACAACAACAACATTGTATGTGAACCACCCTGTTTCAGCTGGTAGCCAGTGAGTGATACAACCAGTGTTGTTGGAATATGCAAGATCCATAGTGCGGCCTTACGAAGAAGATCTGAAGATCACCCTACAAGCGGGCAGCTGAAGGACTGCTAGCTCGCATAGCTAGATTAGGGACTTCCCGCTATTTCAAATTGTGTCCTCGCTGTCTCCTGATTGGCTCTTCTGGAGACTTCCTGCTCCCTACAGAGCTTTCAGTTCCGGTCTCCTCTCACAGCACTTAGACTGGTTAGTTTAGGCTTTCTCTCTGTATGTTCTATAACAGTTTGTTCTTCTATAATAAACCTACTTATTTTTCTCTAAGCAGCCAGTGCTCCACTTCCTTTGCATATTTAAACGCTGTTGACAGTAGTAAACATCCGTTCTTGCCTCTAGGAACTGCAAGGCGAAGAATAGTCCATATACCCACTCATGGCTTCCAAGCCAGGGATCCCCAACCTTTTTGATCTTGCAGGCACCTCTGAAGTTCTCATGGAGTTCAGTAGTTTCACCTATTTCATTGCATAAGTAATGGACTCTCAAACAGAATAAAGCTTATGTGTTTGAGAGATGTTCTTCTCTATTACTTATGCAATGAAATAGGTGAAAAGATTGAACTCCATGTGAATTGGGCAGCTTTTCCATTGAAGTGCAATTTTTCATACATCATCAACGTATAGACTCTTGGTTAGAAGAAGACGTTTGTCGAAACGGCATCGCATTCCGGAGACCTCTGAAGTTCTGACACAGTGTGTTGGGAGCAGACACAAAATGGCTGCCACAGTATAGCTGCCACAAGGCGGAGCCAGCAATAAAATGGCTGCCACAGCTTACCTTCAGTCACACAGTGAGGATCCTTGTTTTGTTATGGTGGAAGCTGGTGGCAAAGCAACATTTTTAAAAACCTGCATAGCCAATCAAATCAACATTTAAAAAAACCCCTCCATAGCCAATCAATTTTTTAAAAAAAACCTGCATAGCCACTCAGAAGTCTTGTTGGGCCCACCCACTTTGTAAAAACACTTGGTGGGCACCAGGAACGGTGTTGGCGGATGCCATGGCGCCCACAGGCACACTGGGGACCCCTGTTCTAAACTGACCTTAATACTGGGCTCTTCCGCCTTACAAGTTCTCCAAAATCATATGCTGTGTGCCAGAGTTGCAATACATTTTTTCTTTTAAATCTAGGTTTCTGGCCCTCATGAGCACAGAAGTTGGGCACAGAAGCTATAAGCCTTGCATTAGGAGATGCAAATTCAGTTTTCAGCATTGCCTGTTGTCACACACTGGTGAAGGGTTAGCTCTTTCAAGGCGATCGTTGTGCAGGACCAGTGTGACCATCCTGTGTCCTCTGGCACCTGTCTTTGTGGAATTGGTGTGTGAGTCACCCTGGGACTGTGTCATGCAGGTTTATTGCATCCTCTATCTACAAGCATGTGAAGGATCTGCAAAACTGGCATTGTACTCCACAACATTCTCTAGTTTCTTGTGGCAATGTCCAGCTGGCTGTCACTACATAGGGTGTGTGTCTGCAAGGATCTCTGGGGCCGATCTGCATTCTTCAAAGTTTGTTGGTCTGAACAAAAGGTGACTAAGCTGGCTTGTTTGTAAAGTTGGTACAGCCTCTGTGGCTATTTGTTTGGGGCAAAGTCACAGCTAACTTATGGCAACTCCATGGGGTTTTCAAGGCAAGAGACGTTCAGAGGTGATTTGCCGTTGCCTGCCTTGGCAAAGCAACCCTGGTATTTCTTGGTGGTCTCCTATCCAAGTACCAGCAATGTTCCCTCTAAGATGTGGAATTTTGTGAGCAAAAATTCTACTTTGTGAGATACTGGCATTAAAGTTGTGAGTGAGCAATTTGGCTACGGCATCAGTGTGCTCTGGAGCCATCCTTCCTGAGCTAAGACAAAAACGTGTGAGCTGGAGGCTAAAAAACTGTGAGCTAGCTCACACTAACTCAACTTAGAGGGAACACTGCTCACCAGGGCTAACCCTTCTTAGCTTCCAAGGTCTGATGAGATGCATATCTTCAGACCTAGCACAGGAAAGAATACAGTGATTAAGAAATTCATTTCTTAAATCAAGATTTCTTTCCTGCCTTAGTGTGAATATATACATAGGGCGTTTTGTGGCTGCTCCGTGAGGTAGCGAATGAAAAACTAAACCAACCGAGCAAAAACCTCCAAAGGAAGTTTAGTAAAGGGCCAAAAGTTAAAAACATCAATAGGTATACAACATACAACATGTAACAGGCTTTGTTGCATGTTGTATTCTGTAGTATTTGACTTGTGAAGAAGGCTCATGTGGGCCGAAATGCGTCCGGTCATAGATGGTTCTTTCTGTGCATTTGTCACTGATTACTTTATGAGGCTTTACTTGGGCCCCTACAAGGTTTTTATGTTTTTGAAATAAACGTGTACTTTTGCCTATACCTATTGATGTGTTTAACTTTTGGCCCTTTAAGGTAAAGGTAAAGGTTCCCTTGCTCGAAAGCCAGTCGAGTCTGACTCTAGGGCTGCGGTGCTCATCTCCGTTTCAAAGCCAAAGAGCCAGCGCTGTCCGAAGACGTTTCCGTGGTCATGTGGCCGGCATGACTGAACACCGAGGCGCACGGAACGCTGTTACCTTCCCACCGAAGCGGTACCTATTTATCTACTTGCAATTTCTTGCTTTCGAACTGCTAGGTTGGCAGGAGCTGGAACCAGAGATGGGAGCTCACTCCGTCATGCGGCACACTCGGGTCTCGAACTGCTGAACTACCGACCTTCCACAGCCTGCAGTTCAGCGTCTTAACCACTTGAGCCACCGCAGCTCCTTTACTACTCTTTACTACTCTTCTAAACATCCTTTGGAGGTTTTTGCTTGGTTGTGTGTAAGAATTTGAACCTGGCTGTCTTGCTGCTAAACTTAATGCTCTTAAGAATACCTGGAGCTGCTGGACCATTTAACATAGTGTTACCTACTCGAGCTCTCCTTCTCAGCTCTGGGTATGCCAGAGGTTGGAATAGAAAGCCTTCCACATGCAAAGTGTATGCTTGGTCCCCATCCTCCTTTGCAGCATACTAGATGATCTTGCTTGGTCTTGGCCTGCCTGGGTAAGCCCTCCTTCTGTTGAGTGTCTGGGTGTTGGCCAACAAAAAAGCCGGCCTCTCTTTTCTGCCGCCTTACCCACA